AATTATTTTACAAATGTGCAAATTATATGTCACAGTCCAACAGGCAGATAATCTGCACAAAAAATTCTCATTCTATATACACAATCCAAGTTTAATTATAATTAAAATGAATTGTTGCAGCTTTTTATAGAAATTTTTAAAATTGGCGACATGTTCCCATTAAAATAAAAATTATTATACTAATTTTCTGTCTGTCTAAATTGCATTGCTTAACATGCAAAATATTGTTTACTACAAAGAATAAAAGGAGGTATTTAAAGAATTAGTTTGTTATGTTTTGTGTTTATAATGATTATGTAATGCTTAGAAATTTTAGATTAGTATTATTATTTCAAAGGCATCTACAAGTATAGAATCTAAATTTTTATTTTAGTTTATTTTAGTCGAAGTATATTTGATTGCTACTGTATGGCTTGCATTTATATTTGCAGCTGCATTTTAGAAAATATGAAAAGTCAACGAAAGTTTATGGCAAATGAGTAATGAGTGCCCTCACTGGCTGGTTGACATTATGGCCAACTAGTGGCAACCAAAACCGAAAACCAAAACCCATTCCAACCCAGCCCAACCCGACCAAGCCAGGAAAGGCGAACAGCATGAGTTGGGCACAAATGACTTTTAAAAACAAGTTTTTCCAACCCCACTCCACAGTCTTGCCTCCTGTAGGCTACCTCCGATACGAACTTTCAGCTTTATGATACAAAAATTGTAAAATGATTTTGTAGTTATGTGGCATGCTCCCCGTACTTGGAGGCACTTTAACATGTTGAAAACTCTTCGTTGTCGCTACTCTGCCCCGTACCACCCCTCGGCTGATTTTTTTTAATTAGTTGTTGCTTGCACTTTAAAAGTTTGACAAGCACTTGTAAAAGTTTTTATGCCGCTTGACATTTAAATGCGCATGAATGGCTGAACGTGTATGTGTGTTTGTGTGTGCGGGAAAGCTGAGACTGCCTCGGCATTAATTAATTATTTGTACGTTCCCAGTGAAGAGCTCGGCCTGGCCAATATCTTATTTCAACTGATTTGAATGCCAAAACGGCAAACAGCACACATTCGCAACACATTAACGCTAACTTGGCTTAATTGATTTAAATATGATTGATGAACTCACGCAAATGCACACTCACATACACACACACACACACACACACATCTGGTGGTCACCCAGCCGCTCCTCAAGAGAGTGCCAGGCTTTGACACCAGAGGGCGGTTCAAGGCTTGGTAAATTGCAGCGCTGGTGCTGCATACTTTTAGGACCTCCCGGTAATTCGGACCTAATACTCCAAATCCTGGTGCAGCCTTTTAGGATCAAAACATATTTTGGCTGGGTTCTTAAGCGAGTTTATATAAAGGCCGGACGGGCTATATTCCAACCCCTACCGCATCGGCGGTGCATCCCAGTGGGGCTCTGGTGACCGAGCAGGGGCGGGATAACCCCCATCCCGTCAAGGAGAAATACTTGGCCATCGAGGGAACTCGCCACGAATCCGCCTCGATGACCGACATGCAACGGCATGGGCTACAGAAAGTGGCCCCCACCGACCAGCCACCAGGCGTACAACCGGCGCAACCTACGGTCTACCTGGAGTCGCCTCTTTCCTTTACGCATGGCGCGCCTTTGGCAACCCTGGGTGAAGAATTGTGGCTAAAAACCAACGAAGCGGTAGCAGGCGCGAATCCTTTCGCGCGTAGGTCTCTGGTGGCCAGATCCCCACCAAAGTCTGCTCCACCGTCCGTGACGCTCCACAGCTACCCCCTCTTGTGTCCATCTTCTGCTTCTTCGCGTGCAGCAAACGCAGCCGAGACGGCGAATACGCCATTCTCGACACCTCTGGCAGCGCCTTCATCGCCTACGCCTTTGCCGATAGTAGTGGCGTCTAGCGGTCCCCCATCCCAACCAACCACCGCCCAGGCAGAGATGCAGGAACTGGGCTCCCACCTGCAGGCGGTGTGCCGTCTTTTCGAGGGTCAAAATAAGCGACATGTCAACCAGCAGGATAAGGAGATTTTTGCTGAGATGCTGAAGCTGCACAGCTCGATTTGCAGCAAAATAGACTGGTCATGTACTGGAGTGAAGCAGCATTCGAGAGATATTGGCATTCAAACTGCTGAGGCCTGGCCCAAAGTGTCCAGCCACCCCCAAGCTGGCACCCCAAAAAGGCTCAGGGACCCCAAAAGCAACCAGCGCGCGACTCCTCCAAAGAAGCATAAAACGCGTGACCAGAAGCTCGCCTCCGCATCGCAGAGTACAAGTGGCCAAAATATGAAAATAAAAAATTATTGTTTCCAAGGGAATAAAAGTAAATAATGATTGTTAAATTTTTAATTCCTAATGATGAAATGGAAAATATTATGACAAATGAATAATTTATTATCCAAATATCGTTGGTATTTAAAATTTTGAAATGATACTTCAAAAATTTCAAATTTAAACTTTATTCGATCTAAAAGTGGATTAAGGAATAGGATTTAATTTTGTATTACAAATGTTGAATAATGAACGAAGAACTATAAAGTTATTTTGTAATATAAATTTGGTTGAAATCAAGAAACTATCGTGTGCTTCCATACAGACTAAATGAAGCGCTTTAGCTGAACTTTGAAAAATATTTAATCAAATAGCGCTGATTGCTTTATATTTCTGTTTGATGGAGAATTTGTAAATAAAAGAGTGTTCAACAAATACCCAAACTAAAAAAAAACATCCTAAGATTAAATAAAGATAATATATAGCTTTTGAAACTTCTCATATACCATTTAAGAAACATATTTTAGCAACTAACTTCCTCCTCTTATTCCCTATTTGGGTCGAATTTCTAAATAAATAAGTTCTTTTGAGGGAATTTCTTCCAAGCATTTTTTGTCTCCAAATTCCATCGAATAATTTAGCTATTTAAAGACAAGGTTGGGTATTTAAAGGCCTTTACCCACATTTCTTACATATGGTTATAATTCTATTCTCCTAGCTTCGGCGTTTTCCCATTTATTTCTTTAACCACCCATGCTGTGAGTTTGTGTGGAAATTGGCACAACTCCGCCACTTGAACTGACTGCATAGCGGCGGGGCATAAATTATTACTTTATTATGCAAAACACTTTAAGTGATTTTCACGTATTGCCAGTGGTTGAGCTTTAAAGAGATCAGTGGCAAAAAAATAAACCTCCGACACTTGACTGTTTTGGTTTTGGTAACGTAAGGAGGTTTAAGGCCGCAACCACTGCTATGTACTTATTCGTATAACCATCGCAGCGGCGGGCTCAAATTTGTTGATTGCATTTGAATCCCAGTCATAACTGTCAGAAAGTTGCTCAGTAGCCGTCTGTGTGGCGTCTGCGTTGGAGTATGCCCCAAAAGTTGCCACTGTGTGGGGCACAGTGTTTGTCGGGGGTGTCTCTATACGGAAAAGCCGGCTGTCATTATGTCATAAGCATATGAAATATAATTGTAAGTAAATATATGAGTGTGTGTGCGGGTTTAAATTTTCTGCTCTCGTAAGCTGTCAGTGGGTCGGATATTTGATATTTGGGAAGGAGGGGAAGTGGGAGGGTCATTGCGGTTTGCGAAGTAAATAAATCGGGCACCTACCTGTCGGAAAGTTCGCTGCTTGGGCTCAGCTTTTGTTTTATGCGATTCTCGTAACGTCCACCCACAACTGGCAAGCGCCTCATTTCATTTTCATTTTTCACACACACATGCACAAGCAACTGACATTTAAATGCGCTGCCCATAATGATGCTACTGATGTCGATGATGATGATGATTCCGATGATGCTGACGATGAACATAATAATGTACTCTGTTGCGGTGGCCATGTCGCCTCGCATCACATCGCTTCGAAAGTTTTATGTGCTTCTCATTTATATCCAATGTCTCTGATGCACAGTGGAGCAAAAACATTTTAGGGTTATTCCTTAAAATTTAACTACTTCAATTCTAAATTGAATCTTCCTTCCTTCCTAATCCTGAACTTACTCATGTAGACTTCAGAAAATTCATAAAATAATTCTTAATTAAAATAACATTTTATATGAGTATAACAAATTGTTATCAGTTTTTTTTGTTGTAAGCCTTACCCCAAGAGACGCTGACTTGCGGGTATTCTGCCGATATTAGCCTATTTGGGATTCTTCTTGTGCTGGCATAGTCATTGGAATCAGAATTGTTCTGCTCGATCTTCTGGCCCAGGCCTTTCTGGAGAAACATATATTTCCTATTGACTGTGGTATATAAATTGTTCCCCTTTGGGCCGCAAGCCCCATTAAAACATATGTAAATATACATACAGATCAGGGATATCTAACTTTTATGCTGCAAAAATTTCCATACTATACACTAGTTATTATAATTCTCCATTATTTCTTCAAAATGTTCGGACTTAATTTTTTTCAAAGCAATGAATATGACAGTTGTTTATACAAAACTTCTTTTAAGAAGGGCAATCAGAGCAAAACTTGTTATATGAAGCATTTCTTTATGAAGCTTTCATTTATTTTGACTCACGTCCATGGCAATCATTAATTCCTATTTATTCAGAACGCCAATTGAATGGTGAAAGAAAAAAGGCAAATAAGTTTAAATTTGAGAAAAACTACAATGAATAGCATTTATGTATATACTAGTATGTATGTACATACATAATATATATCAGCGGTAGACACGAAACTTTTAATAGTATGCAAATACATTTATGGTGTTTGATATTATTAAACAACGGAAAAGAAAGCTGCACAGAACGCAAAATCTATTTTATTCCATCATTCTCATTTCACTTTGTCAACTGTGAAAAAATATAATGATATTTAGATAATTAATTATTACAGTACAGATCACAAAATCTGTTTTATTCCATCATTCTCATCTCAGTTTGTCAACTGTGAAAAAATATAATGATATTTAGATAATTAATCATTATTATTTTCATAAATTCAAATCGATTCGAATAATTCGAGTTTGAAAGCGACAGTATCAGTTGAATTCTTTTGATTCCTTTTTTTAGCAGTCTGGTAACGCCACAACAGCTGACTTCTTTGCACTTTTAATCATCACATCGATACTGTTATGTCGAAAAGCTAGATCTCACTCATCTTTTAAGTTGTTATGTTAACGTAGCAGGCGAAAAAGTCGACACATGTATTTCAAGAGAAGCTCATTCGCAAGCAGGCTGTCATCAAAATAGTTAAGTGCAGATTTATAAAGAGAAAATGTTCGAGGAGTTTTCAAATGACACCCATTGGCGGCCAATACAAAATAGTAGAGCTCCGCAGCGCTGGATGGGGAATCAAAACGCAAATAACAACAACCAGCTAATTAATGATCCGGCGCTGGGAAGAAGGCGTTTGAGTGGCGCCGGCAATAAGTGGTACCTGCGCTACCTCAAAGATGGATTCGAACCAGAGGAGGCATATCGTAAAGCACTAGAACGACGTCCAGTTCCAAACGTGTCACAGAATGCTGATCGAAAGCGTTCAAATTATTCGCGTCCCATCACATCGATACCAAAAAGGTTGCACACAGTTCGTGAGGAAGAGCCAGTGGAGGGAGAAAGAAAGAGTAACACTCGTGATCGTGATCTCGAAGACAAGGAAAAATTGGTAGCTATTGTGCCCGTTGGCTACCCAAAAGAGACGCTATCCCCGAAAGATCTCATAAAAGTTGAAGAGGCCGTTTTGTTAGAGGTTGCCAGCGACCCGGACGACTCGCTGAGCCTAGACCGTCTGGAATTCAAGTCGGGGTACATGCTGGTCGACTGTCCCGACAAGAAGACAGCTAAATGGCTGTTGAACGTGGTGGCGAAGCTTTCCATCTGGAATGGGAAACCTTTGGAGGCAAAGCTAGGCGGTAGCGTGTTACCCGATCGCAATGTCACTCTCTACATTCCCAACAGTGCGACCAAGGATCAGGAATTTATCATGGCTCTTCTGCGCAACCAAAACAGTCTCTGCACAGACACTTGGAAAGTGTTGTCATTCACGAAGGTGGGCGATGATTGCGTACTGGTCCTTCGCATCGACAATATGTCAATGCAGAAGATTAATGAAAACGGCAACAAAGTGTGGTTCCGTTTCGGTACCATCCCAGTGAATGAAGTGGCAAGTATACGAGATAATATTCCGAAACCTAACTATAACTATATATTTATGTTCTAGGTGGATCTGACCGAGGTTGACGAAAAGGACGATAAACCATCGGAGGAATCAACATAAATTAAAATTCTCCAGGCAAATACTACCCCTACGAATAATAATTCTTATAGAATTAATTCTATGACACAAAAATAGTATATATACTCATACTTAACGTGTATAGTACATCAAAAATCGCATTTACATTCCCCACATACTTATAACACTCCCGTTTCTACAGCTGCGACTTAAAACACTATGTTCATCAATTTAATAAAACGGACACATGAACAATAAATAACAAATAGAATTGATATACTGAGTCAATAGATAACTCCCAAAACTTTTAAAGAAACCCCCATTTTGTGATGCATGGCTAATAGTGTTTCTTATCTAACTCAAAATAAGGAGATGTTTTGCGTTTGACTTACAAATTTAAGCAAAACCACTTGCCTTGTAGCCTCTCTTCAAGTTAGACTGATATGGGAAGCATTTAGGAGGCGTAATATGGTCACCAATTTCAGAAATCTCAGACGATTGAACTATCTTTTTCATTATTAGTACTTAGTATTATATATACTATATCAAGTAATCACTTCTGGAACTTGCATCTTGTATTATAATTTAAAACTATATGTCCTTTTGCCAATTAAAGAGGAGCATAGCGTACGTTGGCAGCGGATTCCACATTTCTCAACTCAAACTCAATCGTTTGGATCTTATTGGGCTGTGATTTATTTTGTAATTAGAATGGTAAAATCTCACCCGACCGACTCTTGAAGAAGTTAGTATACCCTTTAACCCTTCGGGTAAAGAGTGCAAAAAAGAATTAACTAATAATAATTCCACATTCTGACTGAAAGAGCTGCGCGCCTATTAATGAAAATATAATATACTCTACTAGTATTTCGGTCAAATGAAATAGTGAAGCATCTCCAAAAAGCTTTTAATTGGAATTCGGTAAGTTATACGTTATATTCCGACTTCTATTTTTATATCGTGTACCCTTATCCTGAGTGCACAATAGCTTCAGCGACTTAGTATTATTAAGAGCGTTCTTTAATTAACATACGAGTATATAGAGTTTATTGTCCGAATAGAATCGACAATATTATAACAATCTAAGGAATCGACTCAATGTAGCCCATTGTGCCTCTGATGCTGCATTCGCCAATATAGCGCAAAATTTTGTAATTAAAATTGTTATATTTTGAAATTGAAGTGTTTTGTGCGAGTCAGAGTCTGGACGGACATGCGTGTGGGTGTGTGTGTGTATGTGTGTGTTGTGTAGGTGTAGGTGTAAAACGGAAATCCATACACAACATGCCAGCTATGCCAGTCATGCAACGCGTCAGAGATACTGGTAAGCCCGTATCCTTACACCTCCACATTGTCTCCGGGTTGGCATGTGAACTGAATTGGCATTTTAAAGCTGTTGCTTAAGCTCTGAAAATCACTCGTGTTACCTGGAATTAGTGGTAGCAACAAGAACAACAACTAATTGTGGTGTCAAACCTAAATCGAGTAGTAGAATTTTAGATGTTAAATCAATTAACCTTGACACGGCTGCTAAATATTTCCAAATACCTGGAAATGTATGTATGTTGAAAACTACAAAATAACTTTGTGAATTTATCTAAAGCCAATAATTGCAGCGGTTGTCTTGATAAAGCCGCTGGTTACAAGCTGAAGCCGACATCGGAAATGCGATATCTTACCACGTTTAAAAATCCAATATTTTCGTGGCTAAAACACTATCAAGACAGCTGTAGAGCCTGCGAAATTTAGAAAGAAAGGCTTCTTTTACTTAACACAAAACAAGTGGAAAGGCTTTGAAAGACTATGTACCGTTGTGAAGAATAATTATAACTTTTTATAGCCTGTACCCAAAGGGTGAAAGGCTATACTAGTTTTGTGCGCATGTATGTAACACACAGAAGGAGGCGTGGCAGACCCCACAAAGTATATATATTCTTGATCAGGATGAGAAGCCGAGTCGATATAGCCTTGTCCGTCCGTCCGTCTGTCCGTCTGTCTGTCCGTCTGTCCGTATGAACGCAAGGATCTCAGAAAGTATAAGAGCTAGAATAACCAAACTTGGTTTCCATATTCTCCTAAGACCGAGAAAGTACGAGTTTGAGTTTTTTTTCGATGCACCCCCCCACTCCCCCGCAATTCGTGTTTTTTCTTATAACTTCCGTAATTCTCGGAATTTTGAAATCAATTTTGGTAGGTACATCCAGTTAGTACTAATGTGTCCGTGTGCCAAATTTCATCATGATAGGTCAATTCTGAAGAAAGTTATAGCCATAAGTAAAATCGCTGCTCATGCGCTGCCTCTGTCGGCAGCGCTGCCCGCAGCTGTTGTTGTTGTTGCTGCTTTGGTTCAACTTTGTGCTGCATACATACACGCATATAAACACGCATAGGTACGTGATGTAAATGTATGCTGTTAAAACTAAACATAAACATATATTCTAATTTAATTTAATTAATTAATTCATTAATTTTTTTTAATAATTTAATTTTTTTTTAAATTTTTTTTTTTTTAATTTTTCTTTTTTTGTGGAGAGTACAGGCTATTTTACTGTCGGGCTTGCTCGACTGTAGCGTTCTATCTTGTTTTTTAATAAAGAAAAAGCAATAAACGAAATTGTTCGATCGGGTATGATGTATAAGGATGTGTGCAGTGCAGAGTTGAGCCAAAGCAACAACAACAGCCGCTGTCAGAGCTTAGGCAGAGGTTATATTTACTAAACTAAAACTTCCTTTAAAATTGGTCCATCACCATGAAACTTAACATACGGGCACATGGGCACTGACAGGTTGCAATTGCCAAATTTGATTAATAATATAAAGAATCGAGGACAGCTTGTATTTAAATCAATTAGCAAAAACTTGCGAACTCAAAAGTTACGGCGAGTCCTAGAACCGATTGGAGGACAGCTCAGATGATAGATTGAGGCTAAAAGAATCAAATAAATAGAAATTTAAAGACGGACTTCTGCAAACAGCCACACCAACTTTTTGAAAATCAGATCTGTTTATTTGCTTTCCCAAGATCAAAAGTGTGCAAGCGATTATCTGTCAAGAGCTATGACAACATTTTGCACTGCCTTCACTTGTCCATCGACTTATCAGTTCATCTTGAGAAACTTTGAGGCACAACTTGGCCATAACCTGTTCATTTATTAAGTGCTAATATACTTGTACACATGGCCCCCAAAACTAGCCGCAAAACATCTGCAGTCGCAACAGACCGCACCGACCAGCCCAAAAATATGCAAAGAATTGTTAACAGGATGTCTGAGGATGGCGACGACGAGTTGACTAACTGCCGGGCCAGGGCAGGCCAAGTGACTGAAACTATTTCATGTATGTCTCGTGCCGTAAGAAAATTTGTGCTAAGGACCAGGACCAACTTGACAAAGCCGGCGCCTAGCATATTGCCAGCAGATACTTTTAGCCTGTAGTTTAAGTTTTTGCATTGGTTTTGCTTGCCGGCTCTGGGGCGCATGTAAAACTTTTAGCAAACATGACAACAGAATAATATCGCATGCCATAAATTACACTTAAGTAGTTAACAGCTTTATGGGAAAACAACATGGGCCACGCCCACAAACCGTAGGCGACGACAGCGGCAAAAAAACAGCAAAGACCTCTTCGTGCGTGCAGCAGTACGTATACGTGTGTGTGTGTGTCTCTGTGTGTGTGTGCATGTGTGTGTATGAGACTAAATGCTATCTAATATCTAAAAACATTTTTAATCAAAATTCCGGCAGAGACTTGGCTGCCTGTCATGGGTGTGGCTGCCTCGCTGGCTGGTTGGCCAAAAAACTTGCTGCTGTTGCACAAAAAACGTGACGACAACGACAAGTGGAGAAGCAGCTAAAACAACAACAACAACAACACTAACAATAATGTCGGAACATAACTCATTTAATCCCAGCTGGAAAAGGCGACTTGGTATACATAGTACTTTATATTAAACCCCAATCCAAGCCATGCAAGAGTTACTTTCTTTTCAAAGATGGAGTTTTTAAACCATATGCAGCATTCAAATCGGATTCGAAATCATTTCAATCTCTTTTTAAAAACAACTTCGTTTTGAGTATGTTTGGCGTTGAAGATACATATTTGTCGCTGCATCGTAAATTGTATCTCAATATATACGCCATTTCAAAATCTGCTTTCCCAATTTATAAACTAGTTTATACATTTATTTCCTATTTAGGGCCTACGGTATTTCTTCTTCCAAACTGACTTTCATGTACAACAAATAAATTACATCTTTTCAATTCTTGCTTTAAAACAGTCACATTGATATGTTAAGGAGCTTTTGATGCAAAAAACGCTGCTTATGTCAACATTGTAAATTCAAAACTCTGATATATTCTAAGTATATCTGGTATACAGTATGCATATTATTTTTACGAATTTTGATCGACCCCTCAAATCAAATTTCCATTAGCTTCTAAATAGCAACAAAGCAATGTAGCTGATTTTATATTTATTTTGTTTATATTTTAATTGGTCGTGACATAATGTTAAAGCAAATCGGTCTATTGCTACGCATTGAAATACTGTTCACAAGTCAACTTATGAGAAAAATACTATTGATGTTGAAAATGCAACACAGACATTGATTTTTTAAAGATTAAAAATCTCAAATTGTTAATTTTCAGTTCGCTCCACAAAAACTTCAACCTTTGCTTTCCAGTCATTATAAGCACCGACAATTATTTGAAGCTTATATTCCCCGGGTGAAACGGACATCCAAGACAAGTCGATATAGCCATGTCCGTCTGTCCGTCCGTCCGTCCGTCTGTATGAACGCAAGGATCTCAGCAAGTACAAGAGCTAGAATAACCAAACTTGGTATCCAGATTGTCCTAAGTCCGAGAAAGGACGAGTTTGTGGTTTTTTTCTGATACACAGTATTTAAGAGTTGAGCCTGCTCGACTTTAGCATTGCTTTCTAGTTTAATCTTTTTAGTTTCTTTCATTATTCTAAACATGCATATGTACAGAGTATTTCAGCTTCTCCACTTGTTTAAATCAAAAATCATGGTGTACAGTACTAATAAATGATTTTAAATTTGTTTATAATTCGCATAGCCTCTACCGAAAGAGTAAAAGGATATACTTGTTGAACTTAACTCTCAGGTTCTTTCCCTCGGCACATATTTAAGCCAAAATTTATCTTTGGGCTGAAAACGCAAGCCGGTTATATTCCTTAACATATCCCGCACAGTTTTTCTCGCCGGCACCAAATTGAAGTTCAACACCAAATGGTAAATAATAGACTTTACTTCCATTAGGGCGAACCGGCTGCCGATGCAATTACGTGGACCTACGCCAAAAGGCAAATACGTGAAGGGCTTGATCTGATGCTTTTGCTCATCTGAAAAGCGTTCTGGGTTGAAACTTTCGGGCTCTGGGAAATTCTCTGGATCATGATGCATGGCCAGAATGGGCACATGAAGAACATCATTCTTCTTCAGCTTGACCACCAACTCATTGTTCTCGTCGCGCAAATCGATATCCGCACTGCACAACCGATTAGTGACAAGGGCTGGAGGCCATTTTCTCAAGGATTCCGATATGACCATATCCATGTACTTCATTTTCGTGAGCGTGTCGTAGTCCAAGGGCTTGCCTTGAAGCTCCTGCTCCACAGCTAAGATCTCTGTATATAGCTTGGACTGCACATCAGGACTCATGCACAGCTCGTAAGTGGCGAAACAAAGACAAGTGGAAACGGTTTCAAATCCCGCAAAGAAAAAGAGCAAGCACTGCGCCAACAAGTCCTCATCGTTGAACTCTGCGTGCTGATCCCCATCGCCGATGTTTTGGGTGGATCATTGTTGCTGTTCAAACTGACGCTTGGCCTCCATTAGCAAATGTACCATATCGGGTCGAATTATATTGTGTTCTTTGCGATACTTCATGGCATCGAACACTAATCCATTAAAGTAGTCTATATTCGTTTGATCGAAGAGCCTAATGCGCAGTGCCTTTTAAGTAAATTCATTTTAATTATCAATTGTTATACTTAGTAAAAGAATGTCGGTAACTACCTTCATAATTCGAGGAATGATTCCGTATAGAATCGCCCTGACCATCGCCCAGCCCTTAAACTGTGTCACCGATTGACCAATGGTATAGAACTCATTATCCTTTTGCACGAAAGAGTTAACCTTGATGCCGAAGGCAGCAGATGCTATGACATCGTTGGCAAAACGGGTAAAGTAATCCTTCATCTCCAGTTCTATGCCTTCAGTGTTTGATTCCTGGCTTCGTCTCAGCTCGTCCCCAATATATTTGATCCCCTCAAGGCTGCAGGCGTTGATTAGCTCGTACATGGCCCGCATTTTGCTGCCAGTAAACGAGGGCGTCAGCGTATTCCTCATCTCCCTCCACTTCTGGTCCTTCAATGCTATGAGACTTCTCGATAGCAAAGGCTCCGTCGAATCACTGAGCGCGGAACGATGATTGGAAAAATGATCAAAATCTTTGATGCCAACTTTTTTGATCAGCTCGGCATCGCGCAGTACAAAGACCGGGTTCAGCATATTGTAAACTCCATACACTTTGCAGTTTTTAAACTTCAAATGCAGATCGATCACGGACTGCAGCATGGGCTCCTGACCCAGCAGAGCTCTGAGCTTTATGTTGCCCAGCAGCACCGAAGGTGCTTCATGGGGCACACCGCGCTCGCTAAAGGTGTGATGTTTCGACACTAGCCATTTGTAGAGCAGCCCAATAGCTGCGAATACTAACGCGATAATTGCAAAAGCCATTTCGTTTGTGCCATCCGACCTGCGCGACTTATTTGTTCATTCATTACTGACAAAGCAGAATATGTGTTCACCATGTTTATAGCTCTGCAGCTAGATATCGCCCGCCCTCACTCGTCGTATCATTATTAAGATCTGTATGTACTCGTATGTACGAGGTCTGTTCAAAAGAAAAGGTGAAGGTTTAGCTCACTGTTATCTTCGATTACAAAGCGTGTTCTTGCCAACAGATTGTACGGTAAATAAGGAATACTACAAGGAAGTTATGGAACATTTGCGTACACATATATGTACAAGATCTGTTCATAATAAAAGGTGAATATTGAATTCGCTTGAAAAGCATTTATTTATTCATCAATATCCATCTTGACCCCTTCAAAGCAATCCCCCTTAGATATACATAGGTCGCTCCTTGCAAATTTTTCCTATTCTCAAAACTGAAGGGACCAATAAACGGAAACCGTTTTGCCACATTTGATGAGATAAAATCACAATCGAAGAACGAGCTGATGGTCATACCGAAAATTGCATTTCGGAAATGCTTCGATAATTGAGAGAAGCGCTGGCATAAGTGCATTATGTCTGAGGGAAATTACTTTAAAATAAATATTGTTGAATAAATAAATGCTTTTCAAAAAAACAATTCAAAATATCCCTTTTCTTTTGAACAGGCCATGTATGTATGTTATATACGACTACATTTCGAAAGAGAGCCAATGTACAAAATAGACAATAGTACAGTGGAGCAAGCCCGACAGTGAAATACCCTCTACCCAGACAAACTTCCGCCGCTGAGTTATACACGACCATAGAAGAGGCAAAAAGAAGATGAAGAATCGAGAACCTCTCCCTGCAGTTTCTGGACTTAGTACTGAAATGAAATTGTTTTTTTTTTTTTCAATTTACCGATTTATATTATACAAATTATATACATACTTATTACGTGTGCAGAGTTTGGTTTATGTGGCTTTGGAAATATGGACAGTATTGATGAATTCCTGTAAATAAACTCAAATGAGTTTATTAATATTGCCTAAGGACTAGAATAGTCTCCATACGAAGTTTGGTCTCGTCACGCTGACTAAGAATATATACACTTTATAGGGTCGAAGATGTTGCCTTCCGCCTGTTGCATACTCTGCACCAACCGAATATACCCGTTTTTACACCCGGAGGGTATTTCAGTGCGTTGTGAAATAGCCAACGATAAGCAAATGTGTAAGCAACTGTATCCAAATAATATCGTAATTCGCACAATTTGTATGTCAGTTAGGTTCAGTTTATATTTCCTTCATTTCTATTTCATATCTATCCATGATTCATTAAATATTTTGTTGTGTAAGTGATAACTTTAAAAATGTTATTGTATTCTGAGCACAATTATAACTTTACTCTCATTATTCATCAAGCTTTATCTTATCAAATCGACAGGTTCTCATTAACATTATCGCTCAATATATGTATTTTATACAAAGTATTGCTAAATGCATTCATGATAATGAGAAATACTTTTACAATTTTCGAATACATTTATAAATTATTTACTCATAAATCTAAACATTCGAATTGCAAACTTAAACAGAAAACAATAGTGGAAAGCCGGCGTTAATCAGGTCCAACAATAATATATCCTGTACAATCTATACGTACAGACAGACGGACATTAACGCAGCATGTCATACTGGTCGAGAATATATAGTATATACCTTTGTGCCAAAAATAGGTTCCTTATCTCTAAAACCTACAAAAATTGGTGAAAAAACAAGGATTTATGTTTATTTTATTAAATGCTGTGTGTGTTTTTATTTATTGTATTTATTTTGTGATTTTTCGAATCGTGCTAAATGGAATAAAGTCGTGTAACTTTATATATAATTTTATATTATATTTATATGTAATTTTATATATAATTATTAATTTTCAATCCGTGTTAAAACAAAATCCTGTAAAAAAGACCGTGTAAGAACAGAATTAGGTGCATTCGCACTAAGCTAATACATTCATTTGGGTTCAGGTTATAAAAATGTATGCGAATGTTGATAAGAAGTTATTATATAACAAACATTTTTCAGGTTGTCAAAAAAAACTTCTTATTATGTATTTCATTTCACTCTTTCCTAAATTCTCCTTACTAATCTCACACATTTCATCAAAATGTTTCATTGAAATATATTAATAATGATGCCCTAAATTTTTTTGTTTCTGAAGAATGCTTTCAAGATTCTCGAATTGGCATCGAGCTGGCGTAAAAGAGCTCCAAAACGAATCTAAGCCAAGCAGTATATACGAACAATGAGAAGCAATAAGTTCTGCTTCAGTCATTATTATAATTTCAAAGTATATCTTCTTTCTAAGTATATCTGGTATACAATATGTAAATTATTTTTAGCAAATTTCGACCCACCCCCAAATATAATTTCCATTAGCTTCTAAACAGCAACGTAGCTGAGCTTAAATTTATTTTGTGGTTACATAGTATTTGTCCTGTCATAACGTTGTAGAAAATGCTGAAAGTGTATAATATTGCGATGTACTAAAAATTGTGCTTTCCACCACCATAATCAAATGATTCGCTATATTTCGAATTCGACCCACAAACATTATTAATTTTCAGTTCGCTCCACAAAAACTTCAACCTTTGCTTTCCAGTCATTATAAGCACCGACAATTATTTGAAACTTATATTCCCCGGGTGGAACGGGCATCCAACGTATCGAATCTGGAGAGAATACTTGATTCTCCACTATGATGTCATGCTGAGTTTTTGGATAGTTAGTAAATCAATCGTCTTAATATTTTTCTTGCTTACATCATATGGACAGGTGTGATTAATATTGGAATTTTTTACCAACGCATCCAGCACTATGCGCATAAACGACAGATTCCCTCTTTTGTCCATGAACTTGCAAAAATCCGCCGTTTGATTGTACATATAGAAGCGATATCCGCTGTATTTTCGCCATAAGCTTAAATTGACCTGAGATCATAGCACGTTTAGCTTGGCGGCTATTATAATTATGATTTAGACTCGACTTACAGACACTTGTGAAACCGGAACGTGAAAGAGGTTCACTGTTATGTTCAGACCAACTACTCCGCGTCTCAACAGCTTTAGCCTGCAGACCTGAAAGTCGCAGAAGGATTTATCCAAGCTTTCGCACTTTACATTCGTATATTTGTCCTGAATACTGCAGGAAGGCAGTAGCAATAAATTCACGCAAAACACTTTGAGGGTCAGAGACATAGCGTTTTGAAATTTGAAAGAACACAAATGTGACTACTTTGGAAATTTTATGGTAAAACGCTTTTGTAGTATTTGAAAGCCATAATTAAGGCATTAAGGCATTAATATGAATTTAATTGTTATATATTTATTTATGTTTATTCAAACAGAAACGCTTTACACTAATCACTGATTGTACACGAATTAGCGATTTAAACTGTATTTTCGCCATAAGCGAAAACTGCTCTCAGAATCGGCCTAAAAGTACTGCAGGAAGGCAGTAGCGATAAAATCGCGTGAAGTACTATGAGAGTCAGAGACATTGCAATTGAAATTCGGAGTCATTTTAATGGTGATTGCTTTCGAAATTATCAGATTAAACACAAATTTAGTATTTAAACCCGTAATTAAGACATTAATATGGATTTAATAGTTTATTAATAGTCAAATAGTTCATTTTAATTGTGTTTATTCAAGTAGAAATACATTGCTATCAGCCGTGTTCTTGTTTAAACAAGTCGCAGAGTTGTTTGATTTGGCAAAAAAATGTTTAATTACGTTGCGAAACCTAATAACCTGAAAACATCTTTGACCTACGGGTACATATACATATATATTCTGAATCAGCATGACGAGAGAAATCGATCTAGACATGTCCGCCTGTCCGTCTCGATGAACGCAAGGATCTCAGAAACTAGCTAGAATAACCAAAGTTGGCATCCAGATTCTCCTAGGTCCGAGAAAGGACGCGGTTTTTTTTTTTTAATTTTCCCCCCTTGCCCCGCTACAGAATTTCGTCAATAGCGTCCACATTTCAAATGCTACCTAAACCAAACTTTGCACACATAATTTATATATACAAGTAATTATCTACTGTTGTTTAATCAATTGTTTGTTGTTTATTCAATTCGGTCAATTCTAAGAAAAGTTATTAGCAAAACAAGTTCTCGCCAGTACAACCCCACCAAACTACAGCGACAAGTTCGCTCTTCTTTCTCCTCTTTTTGCTGATGCTATGGGCGCATATAACTCAGTGACGGAAGTTTACCTGGGTACAGGGTATTACACTGTCGGGCTTGCTCGACTGTAGCGTTCTCTCTTGTTAAGTTTAAAGAAAATCTCAAAAATCATTAAATAAGAGAAAGACTTTTTATGTAATTAATTCATTTAATTTAATAAAAATCAATTCTTATTACAAATTGTAATATAGACATAAACAGTTTTGGAATTGTGGAATTGTGGTCTATTCTGTACCGATTTTAGTCAATGTGCTCTCGGCCGTTTCCGAAATCCAGGGGTTCATCCTGGACGAGCAGACAGGCTGTCTTCGAATAGTTTGTGCTATTTTACAATCCATGATTGTCCACGACAAAATGCCGCCTAACCGGAGCTAAGTTCAACTGTGCGGCAAAATGGGGAAATCCGCTTAACAAGTGAAAAACAACAGCAACAACAATAGCAAAAAGGCGAAGGTAAATTCAAGTAGAAACTTGCAAAATGATTTTAAATGACAAAGAATATGTCAAAATGCTCAGTGCTTAGCGGGATAAGCAGAGAAGAGCTCAGCTCGATCTTGTTTAGATAAAGACGACCAGATTCCAAAAGCGTATTTGAGTTTCTCCTCTCAACATTTTGGCAACAGCAAATTGTAAAACAAAATGACAGTCAGGCTGTCGCACAGCTCAGTGTCCTTCCGCCATCCGCCTTCCCTCAACCAACATCCACCTCACTAGTATTGCTAACGACATATGGAAGCCAAACAAAACTCTGGCACTACCACGTCGTGTGCCTCTATTATTATTACGTCTCATATATACAACGAACGCCATTTTCATTCTTTGTGCTTGTGTGCTGCTCCTTTTGCTTTCACTCCATTCCTTTAATCTACTCACAGCAGCAGACATTTTTCTTTCAATGCCTCGGTCCACCCGTCCCCGCACGCCTTTCTTTCTATTTGTCACCCACATAAGTGTTTTGTAGTTTTTCTTCCCTTTGATATGCGCACTAGCGTTGGCAAAACCAAATCCAAATCCAAATCCTAACAGCAACACGCTACGTGCCTTGTAGCCCAGTGTAGCCAACTGTCATGTCATTGTCATGTACTGCCCCTCGCCCTATTTCACCAGAATATTGCTACTGCACAGTGTAAATTGTGTTCAAGATGGTGAACTAAAAAAGAGATGATATCTTAAATAGAAACATAGCGTCTGTAGTATTGCAGAAACCGGATTTTAATTCCCCAAATAAATCACTGGCCGATATGCCTAGCAATACTATACCAGGCCGTGCTTTTGATGTTAGAGCTGAACTTAAACTCCAATAACAGACAGTATTCAGAATACGTTGCAAATAAAATGCACGACATAGATTTCTCATTTGTTATTTATTTAATTATTCTTTTATTTAGAATGCAGCGACTTCAACTTCGATGTTTACATTCCAATTGATAAACCTAATATATATAGATTTATATTGTTAATCAACAAAAACAAAAGTGAATGCTACTGCGGAAGCAAAAAGAAGAGCGATCCCGCTCCAACAGTTTGTGGGAATAATACTGGAGTGAACCCGATTTGGATTCATTTCAAAACAATTTGTGAGAATTATATGTATTCATTAATTTGATTTGTGTAGCTTTCAAATCATGAACGAAACTCTATAGATGAAGGAGGGGCGGAAGAAATAAAAAAATTAAATTGACTCATGTTGCCTGGAGATAAGGAAAGTCTATATAAAATGTTTGGTCAATGTGTGCTCAGCCAAAATCCAGGTGTTCATACAGGCAGCCGGATAGGCAGATATTTTTCTGTATAGATTTCCCTCGTCGTGCACATTATAAATATATACTGGTTATGATGTAGGAGATGCTTCCTTCTCCCTTTGCACAACCAAAACCGATGGCAATTGGTCAATATGCACGTCATAAGGCACTTGGTTGTTTCTAATATGTGATCGACTCGTTAAACCAAATCGCTTCTCCAACTCCAAGACAGATTCTGTGTATGTCTGCTGAAAATATTCATACATTTTTTCAGCTTTATAACTACATAAAAATTAGTATTATATTGGAATCAACCTTATGGATTTATAGTTCCTTTTAGCAATCAGTAACTCTGCTAAAGTAGTTGATTATTAAATGTATGAGTGGAGTTACAACTATTCTATTATGTATTATATTATTATGTCAGTCTTTTTATAAATAGGGTTTTAATTTGTTGTATAATGATATTTTTGAAGTGTGAAATATATTCGATTCGATTCTCACCATAAATTTCCCTATATTATTTGAGTTTTTTAAATGAAATAAACAAATAATTTCGCATTATTAATTTTTTGTTAATATTAATTTATTGCAGTGAGAATGCATTAATTTCTCTTAATTCTTTGTCTGTATATTGTATAAAATATTAAAAATGATTATTTACAATTCAAAGAATTCCAAAGAACAGCACATAAATCTAGATTAATGTGCGCATCGTCTAAGTGTGCAGAAATCTCACTTATTTTAAATTCATACCAATGTTTCTAAGCCAACAAATATTAGATAGAACTCGAATAGATAATTTTAATAAATTTAGTTTGCTTTGTTTTTTTCTTACTCTCCAAAGGTGTTGAAGATGATTTTCAAAATGCTTTCCAATTAATTGATATCTTTCCTTTACTACAAGTAATTCTTTCTTGCAATTTAAAGAATATTAAGCGGACTGCCCATAGATAATATGGATTGTTTATACAGAACTAATATTTTTCGAAATATTAAGTACTGTAGACACGGTGCAGAGGTCTGCTGGCTGGCTCGCTCGCCAGTTACCAGTTAGCAGTCAGTAGCAGGTTCCATTCAACTGGCAACTGTCTTAAAGGGCCATGTCGCCCAATGGCAGCCAAGTTAAGTGAGTTGAGACGACGGCGGACTACTTCAAATCTGTAGTAATAGATATCAACAACTTTGGCGAGCAACAGCAGCAACAATGATGCTAGCATCGAGAGCCACGCTTACACGCTTGCGGGCTTGCGGGCTTGCTGGCTTATAGATTGTTTCTTGGGTTTTGTCAGCATTAAATTAAAAATGAACTTTGGCAGCGCAAATTCATGGTCATGTTAACTTTTTGTGCTTGCCTCGACGCTTGATGCATTGCTCGGGAAATGCTTGCTGCAGTTTTTTGTCCGCCACCGACCATTGGAGCTGCAAACAGCAACTGGTCGCCAATGGACTTGCAGCTCGAAAGCATTGTGAAATGTTCTGTGGCACAGTTAGTTACTGCTTTGGCTTTGTTACTGAGTTGATAAGATAGAGTTGAATGCCGTTCGCTGTCTATCGAAAAAAGTTGTACAACATTTTAAGGTTCGTTATAAGTTTTTGCTCAGATAACATGTGTGAACAGCTAGCTATATATTTTAATTGCTGATTATCGTTGCATTCGAAAAATTCGTTAAATCAGTTCAGGAAGCACAAGTAACCAACAATAAATTCAATAAATGTATCCAATTTGAGGTGAAGATAAAAATAAAGAAATTAAAGTTGCTAATATAATACTACACGATTTTCCAATATTTGTATTATTTATTCATCAGTGACTTAAACTTGCATTACTTATAACAATATTGCTGGGAGGGGAAGGTGTGCTCTGGCCATTCTGCATCTGACTTCAGTTTCCACTATTTCTTCTTTATTTCATTCATTTAAATAATAATGTTAAAATATGCAAGCTAAATGCTTCTAGCTATTATTTCAAGCCGTTGTTCAATTCCCATTGTGCGATGTGTTCGCATATTTCATTTCACTTGAACCAGTCCTTCGCAAGCTTTTGCTTCAATAAACGTATGTATGTATGTCTTCCTAACTAAACGCAGTCGTCGCGTGTGTCCAGCGACTGATTCGACCAAACACCAATTTAATTAACTGAAATAAACAATGGAAAACTGATGGAAATTCTTCGGAAGAAATTCCCATTCTAATAATAAATAATGCTGGATGGTTCAATCACAGCGTGCTACAAAAGAACAATGAACCACATTTGTAAAGCATATATGTATTTAATCAATTTTAGTTTTTAATTAAATGACAAACTACTTGGGCAGTGAAATAGTTTTAATGAAATTTTGAGACGCTGTTTTATTGATTTAAATTTTTTAATGTTAAAAAAATATTTTTTATGTCCTTAAGCTAATTAATCTAAGACTTCGATATAAATACACGTATAATATGCACCTATAATTATATTAACAATATGAAATAAATTAGATCTTATATTACTTTCAATTTGTATAAATAAACAGAATAATTAAATTAATTTTTGTATATATATATAGTACATTTACATTCCCGGAAGCTAAGAATCTAAGACTTAAATATAACTATGCGTATAATCATGCACCTATGACTATATTAACAATATGAATTAACCGGCTATTTAAATTAATTTTTGTATACATAGTACATTTAGATTCCCACTGGCTAATTGGAAGACTGTCCTTGTATATGTGTTACTCAACAACTTTATTTTGGGGGTTGTAGATTCTTAATTTCTCAACAAGAAATTATCTTCCCCTAATCCTTAACATTTGAACAACTTATTATGCATTGCACAATTCTTTTCGAGTTTTATGTGTAACTTATTGAATCATTTTGAGCTTATTATTGTTCTCCTTTCCCCTTTTTAAAACCTATCTTTTCAGTTATTTCGGGAATCTCTTTAACATCTGGCTTGCCATATTGATTAATAAATTTTTTCCCACCGGGTCGGAGATTCTCTTCCCATTTATTTTTAGGTATATACAATAAACAATATACATTTTTCAAAAAGAGACAATTAAGCAGTGGTAATGTAGCTTTAGGATATTAAAGGACTAGTAATCATATTCAATCCATGTAGATTTAGGTATGGACCTAAATAGACACTTGTAAACTTTGCAAAGTTTCACTTTGAACTTACGTCAGAAAAGTGCATTTCATTTATAATCTTATGGATAAGACTTTTAAGAAGCACGTGCTGGTAACTCAATTACTAACGCAAAATTGAAATTGAAATTCGTATACCTCAGCTTAGATACTCCTATATAGTAGATCTTAAAAGACAAACTTACTAATCGGCTACAAATGAATTGAGTTAGTGTCCAAGCGAGTTCCGGGTGCTGACACGCTTCGATTCTTTAATAAAGTACACACATTGGCTGCAAACAATTGCCCGCCGATTTGCCTGTCGTTTGCCTTTCGCTTCCCCCTTTTTGTTATTCTCGCTGTGTTTATGTATCGTAAAAACCAAGTTATATAAATATTTTGGGCGTTTCGACAGCGGCAACGCGACTACTGGCAGAATCAGGCAGTCCGACGAGCAGCCAAGCGTCATATAAAATTGATGCTTTGCCGTCTGCCCGCCACCCCTTCCACCTGCCTGCTGCCATCCACCTTCTGCCTCTCACCATCGCACAGTGTGTCAAGGGGAGCAGAAAATATGTATAATGGAGTTCAATTTGTTTTTCTGTTGAGCAGCTTTTTGGTCGTATTAACACTTTAAATTTGAATGACCTAATAAATCATTGAAGAGAAATATCCTCAGCGAGGAATTTCCAAAAAATGTCATGATCAGCTGGACGTCTGGTCTATCCGTTTATCTTCTTGCACTTCCGAAGAAAACATTGGTGGCTGAACAAAATTACTAGAATTCGCTTTATAAGTTTATTCAGTTGTTTCAGTCATTGCTTTACCTATACTCGTATGCTTATGTTTTATATCACAGTTGAATTGATTACACTCAACATATATATGTACAAACATTTAGTGCGAGCTTCGGCAATTTTAATATCATTTGTACTATGTATTGACTATTCATAATGTAAATGGGCCAGGAATATTTATTGTGCAATTGACTGCACACATAATTCCAGCGCATTTATAATTAACTAACTGGGTCACAAAAGTTAACAGAAACCAACTGCACTCCATCAGTTATCAAATGAGTAAGATTAAGATAGAATTAACTCCTTTTAAATGTTTGATTTTCTTCACCATCATATGTTAACACAATAAGATGAATAGCGATATTCTAAAATGTTGACTTGTGGACTGTTTCTGGCAAAGTCCTATACGACATAAAGAATAGACCGATCTTGCTAATTGCTATAGTTTTTGAACGGTTGTCTTGCTTACAAATTGCAATAAATCCTGTGGAAACCAAAGGCAAAAGAAAACATACATACGTATCAATACAAAATTCTTATTTTAAGAAAACAAACTCCAAGAAATACTCAAATACTGAAATGTTTTCATTTTATTAAATAGAGTCCGGCAAATTTCTAAACTCGTTCTAGTGAACGCTAGCTGTGAGGCATTAGCACACCATTTCACAATAATATTAAATCAAAAAGCTCTATTAATAATATATTTAGGTTTTAGACTACTTCAAAGACTAGACTAGACCAAAAGTGACAACATCCCGTACTCCAATACCATAAAATGTTGCACCTTAAATATATGTACGCTTTACATGATTCATCCACTTCTATTTTGAATTTCTGGATCACACTGTGCGCGTCGTCGTCACACAGTAAATAATGTAATAATCTGCCTGGTCTTGGGCATGGATCTCTGGTCTCATGGTCTCATGGCGTCATGGTCTCCCTGCGCCCCATAAACCAAATTTATGCACGAAATTCAATTATGCTTAAAATGTGGTTAATAGGCCGACTGGCGGCGCTACCTTCCGGCTCCTGTTTCTACAATTCCCCCGACTTTTTGCAGATGCTGCTGCCGATTCTGTTGCCGGGCAACGTCAACACACACGTACACACACCAACACTCGCACAATAGGAAATCGGGACCCCGGGGACAAATATGTGTGTGCCTGGTTATGGCCGCCAGCGAAGCCACTCGCCAAATTTATTAAATATTATTACACAAATACTGGCTGAGTGGCTGGCTGGCTGGATGGCTGGATGGTTGGCACACACACTGGCTTTGAAATTAGATATTGTTATGTTATGATTGTTGTTGTTATTTAATAACAATTTCACTTGTTGTTTTTACAACCGGCTTTTATGACTCACATGCTAAAAAACTCCAACTTCTTGCCCATTTCGAAAACTTTTTTGTTACATTTTTTTATGTGTGTGAGTATATGCAGGTGTATGTGTGTGTGTTAGTACTGATATGAATATGCTTTGTTATGTGCGTGGAGTTTTTGTTACTGTTTTAAGGGCAATTTAAATGGTTTATGCATATGGGCGTATAATTTTTTTATGATCCAAGTGTTGCGCGTTGACTTTGTTTCTTTGCCCGACTGGAGAAGAGGATGAGTAGAATTGACAGAGCATTGACTAAGTGGAGTTAGTTAGCCATGAATTAGTTATTATTAGCGGGGACTGTAAAGATGTCTGCGGGTGTAATAGTTATTATTTTTTTGACAAAAGTGTCAGATTTAAGCAGTAGTTTTTAGCCAGCATCTATCCACAACTTTATAGATGTACTTATACTCACAAGAGCTGCACTATCTTTTAAAGGCGTATCCTATTATTTTGTTAATTCGCGACCCTTTGTTAGCCGTGTTCTTCAACTGATTTGTTGTGGAGCCACAACCCATAACAAGCAATCAAAAACCAAAACACGTCGTATTTGGCATCTTTCGCTTTCTAATGAGCAAAAAGCCTCAATTTCCACAATGCCAGCTGAATGAAGCATTGTTCGCCAAAATAGAACCATCGAAAGCTCAAGCATTGCGCCTAAATGCACTTCCAAGCATCGGGTTTACTGCTGCGGTCCGACAACTGCTTTCATTGATCAGCTTACTGCCATGGAGATGCATTCAAGTCGATGGTTGCATAACTGGTAGGAATTGTTCGAATCGCAGCTAACACTTTAAGGAAATTAAGGCGTAGGCCAATACATATTACTTCTATAAATACTTGCCAATACTTTACTGACATTTAGCTCTAGCGAACAATGGTTTATACCACCATCTACAATAATGCATTTCATGCATTTAAATACTAAATATCTGCATATCCGCTATATCATAAATTTTGTAACACGCTGACAGTCAAATGCATTCTAATCCCTGTTTGCACAAACTTATATAGTACGTACTTACTATATTTACTAAGAATGGCGACCAAAGGAGAATTTTGCATGGTCATTCTCAAAGTAGACACTCATATGTACTTCCTTCCCTGAGGCACTATAATCGTTCTCTTTTAACATAAATTATTTGTAAAGCTTTAATATTTATTTTATTTATAATTCGTTGTCTTATCATGACAATAACAAGTTTAATTTTATTTTACGAACGCTAACTTTTTGAATGAAAATGTAATATGTAATAAGATGTCTAAACAATTATCCGCCAGATGTAGGAAATGATCAGTCATAATTGTTTGATTACATTTGTTGGTGATTGATGATATACCAAAGACAAATTGTATTGGTGTATGTACTTCATAATCGATTATTTGATAAGTTGTAAATTACTTTTATTGTGTGAAAAACATTTCTGAAAATCTGGACGCCATGTTTGACATTCCATGTATGATGAACTTGTACTCTGCCCTGTTGCAGCGTACTGCCTTTAATCCACCTGATCTAGGCCATTTTGTGTCTGTAGTATGGTCGGGATATGTGGCTTGAATGTGAATTTGTGGCATCGTCGAAAAACAACAAATTGGTGGGAATCGCAAACTGGGAAGATAGCGTAGGCGCTTCAAGTGATTCTAAGTGACTCAAGATACGTCAAGGGTATGGGATAAACAAATTTAACGAGCAGTACACGTTTCCACGAACAACTCACTATCAAGTGCATGCATTCTCAGGCACTCCTCCTCCTTGTAGTTGCCGCCGCTGGTGAAGGATCAAAGGCAATTACAACAGGAGCAAGTAAGTACAGTCGCTAACTCTGCACGCTGTATGCTTAGAATAGATTAATAATCAATCAGAAATCATTAATCGCTAACAAAAATTGCCTGATGAATGCGTCCAATTTTAAAATCTGATTTGTCACATTTAGAAATCAATATATTTTTTTTGCCGCGTAAAGATAATTTTAATGCAAATATTATAATTTTACTCAAATTTTTTCTATCCGGGTTTGATTTTGTCTTATAGCAGACAACGAACATGTCGGTTCTTGGAACGGTCAAGAAAACTTTTCACAAATTGAATGCAGATTTCCACCCACCCCTGAACTGCAAACAATAAAACTAACTTTTGAATAAACTTTTGTGGTTTTTTATTTTCAGTGTACTTATGTTTAGTGTATTTCGTGTAGCTGTGTTTAGTTTATTTGTGTTTTATTGCATTGTATGTTGGACAGTTCAGTTCAGCATTCTGAATCTCGACATCTCTAGTTGTTTTGTGGACTGCGACTGTGTAGTTCTTATTGTTCTGTTGCTATTTAAAGAATTAAAGTCTGTCAATATTAATTTCAATAATCAGTCCTTACCTGTTTAAAGTGATTGGAAAAATTGATAGGTCTTCAACCTGTTTTTAAACTTTCCTAAAAAATCGAAGCGCTTCATTGTGATTATATATAGTTTAAAGGAACGTCCTGAAGAATAGATTAGACCATACCTACAGAAGATTTATTCATGCAATGCTTACCTGGGGAAAATACAAGGGAACTGTGTATTGGATTTGCTTGGAGTTGGATTAAATTGGACATAGGATTGGATTGTATGATCATTCATTTATGTTATCATTGCTAAGGGAGAGTAGTCAGCGACAGATAGGTGATCTACGCATAGCCTAATCGAGACAGGTAATTGGATAGGGTTCATCGAAACTAATTCATTTAGGTCCTTACAATTGGTGAAGACTTTTGATGGCAGGCTGCGGTGACAAAGTGTGGTGGTTCGCCATCGAGGCTGGCTGTGGTGGCTGGCTATTGATACTAGTTGCGGTGGATGCCTGTGGGTGGAGACTGTTGATTGTAGCCTCACCGAAATCATTCTTGAAGACCGGCACATTTTAGTGGACAGTACTGTTGCTTTGAGCACGAGGCGCGATTGTGTGTCTGCAAGCGTGTGTGTCTGCAAGTCTAAAAGTGTATTAATTATTCAACTTCAATAATTTTCAATCGTAATATTCAAAGAGCAATTGCTTCAACTTACCGTCTTACTGTCCGATTTTGTTTCTTACAAATAATATTATGTTTGTTTTAGAACTGCTAGCTAGACTGAGCTCTGTTTTCAGATATTTTGAACAGCTTCACGGTTATTTTTATTTGAAAAGCAGAGATTATTTAATTCAAAAGCCAAGGCTGCAGAATATATATTTTTTTGGTTTAGAGAAATTTAATATTTTTCTTAGTTTAGTACTGCTCGGTTGCGAATACGAAGATAAACTAAGATCTAATTACAAATAGCTTGGGGTACTTGACATTCATTTCGATTTTAAAAACAACGACTACGTAGCTAGAAAGCTGAGGCTACTAAGATTTTAAAAATTTTCAATTATTCAACTAAAAATATTCAATACAAAAATTATACATAATTATTTTCGTCTAAATGTATGCATATTATATATAAAAAGTTCTACTGACCTTATATCCAATAGTGAAACAGGCTGGTGGTTTGATTGATTGGTATATTTTTTTGAGAAGCTACACATCTTTCATTGAACACCACTGCGGAAAAAGGAATCGATCTAAAAGGCAACCATTTATAGAAATAAATATAGTTTTTTCACAATATTTTCATATGCTTTCGGGACTCAGCTAAACTTTATTATGCAAATATTATTATTTATTTTATATTAGAGCTGATCCCGTAACATGAAATACTATATTTCTGAATGCAACTAATCGATTAATATTAAAATTAATGAAGACTTCTAAAAACGTGCACCTACATCAAGTTAAATATAGCGAATAATATAATTTTCTGGCAAACCCAACACACAATTTAGCCATTTAACAGACTTCTACCATATGCTTCATTTATTTACTATAAACACATACAGGAATATGCTGTTCATATGAAGTCGAAGGCAAAATGTAGTGCAAAAGTTCATTGCCAGCTTTTAGGCAATGCCAGCATAAGTTCACTTTCGCCACACACACACACACACACATACTGACACACTGCGAGCGAAAAACGCGCGAACACAAGCGGCAAGAAACTGCGGCAGCGTCGGCACATCAACTTTTTATTAGCTGAAAAATAAACACTAAAGGGGGTCGGCAGTGGAGAGGAACAGTGGGGAAAAGGGCAACATGAAAACAAACAGCCGACAACACAAAAGCAAACAACAAGGATGAGAATGAGGATGGCAAGAGTTAAGTAACAAATATTTACAACGCGGTATAGCCGCCAATCCCTGCCCCTGCCCCTGGCCCAGCTCTACCTTCTCCTACTCCTTCTACGGCTGACTGCTGTTATTTGCCATTTGGTGAGCACATCAAGGCAATGCATTGTTGTTCTTGTTGTTCTTGTTGTTGTTGTTGCTGTTGCTCTGAATGACTAAGTCAATGTCGGCGCGCCTAAAAGTCTGCTACGCGACTTAATAAATCTTATTAAAGTGCGCGCCGCGCGGCTGTAAAATATGCAATTTTATTCTTTCATTGCTGATCCTGTTGTTGTTGCTGTTGTTGTTGCCCGCCCTCTGTTCACCCGCATTCTGTTTATTCTTTTTTTCCTTTTTTTAAATGGCCCTAAAAGCCACCGCTCGATTTGCTTGCCCGTCTACCTTATTTTTGCTTTACATAAATTTATTTCTTATTTTACGCTCATATTTGAGTAAAACGTAGCATACTTTTATGCGTGGCCGGGCCGGGCAGGGCAGCTGGCAGGATGAGAACTGAGACTGCTGTTGCTGCTGTGGCTGCTGGGCCATGGCCATGAACAAACCGGCTAAACGACTAAGCGTCGAATCTGGCATCGGTTTCACGCTGTCTTTTTGTCTTGCCCTTTTCTATTATTTCGTTTTTGCTTTACGGAGCTATAAGCTTGTGGTTTGGGTATTTGCGTCTGTCTCCCTTCGGTTTTTTCTGCTGTGCTTACAAGTTACTCAACCAAAGCTGGGAAGCTGAGCTGAGCTGGGACCGTTGGTACCAAGCAATTGCTGGAAGCACCCGATAAACTCTAGATATTCGACTTGAGGAGATTTGTTTGTAATGGGATACGGAATACTTATCGTAGCTTCTGTTGGGATATTCAATTTAACTCTTTTATTTCTCATTAGATATAAAAATGTGACAAGTTAGTTATCATTGTAACAGCAATCATTTTTGACTTAAAAGGATATTCTTCTGGAGCTTATTTTTCTGCATATATTTATTGCTAAGCCAATAATGTTTAAAAATATGAAATGATTTATCAGTAGAATAAATTAAATCATTTCAATTAAAATTTATTTTTTTTTAAACTGATCGACTTTATGTACATGTTATGTATTTTTAATTTAATTTATTTAATTAGTTTAATTTTTTTTAATAATTTTAAAATATTAAACATTTTTTTATGTTTCTGAGTTTAATTTTTAATACAAAAACAAATAGAAATATTCCATATAACTGAACTGATATATGTACGAGTATACATAATTGTATATAAACTATATCCGTGTGTATTTGTTTTCTGTAAATTCCATAAGATTCGATTCAGGACGATAAATTGGACAGCCATTGCTTATCATATTCCACACTTCACTTTCATTTGCCTCAACCAAATGACAAATCGGTTCCAATTCAAGTAATCATCTACTACGCAATACTTAACCCAAATCCAAAATAGAAATGTATAGTTAGAGCTAAAGGCAAAAGTATACATTCCATACGAGCAGCCAGTAAAAATTCAATCGAAATAACGCATTCTCATTAGATTTATTTATCGGTCACTTGAAGTATGACTGAAAAATGATCTAATTGATTATAAAGGAGCCGCAACTGACAACCAATAGGGTGTTTTGGATCTTCAGGGTCTAAAGATACATGCCTTTTTGGTTTGCGTGGACATTAGATTTACGGGAGGAGTTCGGTATAATAGTGTTTATCTGGCAGTATTTGAAGATGCTGTTTTGGGCCAATGCACTCAATATAACAAACTTTCTGTGACAACATTAAAGTTTTTAGAGTAACTCCAACAGGGAATACTGTCCATTTTTACACTATGAGACCTATAATGTCATAACTGAATTGAATAATTATCATAATAACCCACACCGGTATGATAAATTTATTCCGGAGAATATTATTATGTATACAGACCAATCGACTGATGGGGCTAGTGCATAATGCGTATGAAATTTTCTTAATAAAAATGAATTACCTTAGCATTTATGCTTGTAAGTGAAGAGAATTTAACGACTACGGGGCTTTTTCATTCCATTATTTTCAGTTTTCCAAAATATCTCAACCACTTCGTATCAAAAATATAGAAATTGTTCGAAAAACGGATAGTAGCAAAAAGAATAAATGGATCTCCTGGATGCAACGATCGTATTGTCGAGCTGAACAGCCGTTTCATGGAAGTAATTTCACTAATCGAGTTACTGCACTTGCAAATGCTAGCCCCATATTTCTGCAGATTCCTGAGAATCAAAGTAAGTGGTATGATTCAAAGGTGAAATTCTATATATGAAATTCTAAAGTCAAATATTTTTGAAGAACACATGTATCGCACAGCAGCGGCTTGTGCGACCTATAAGAAATTAATACGCAATTAGAATTGACTTTTAGTTCTGTTGGAAGAGATTTCAATCCCTGTACATAATAGTATTATAGTATAGCACTATATTCTTTAGCGCTTTAGTAATGCTGTTGCATAATGCGTAACAAATCTGTTTAATAAAATAAATTTGCTTAGCATTTGTACAGAGAGTTAATGATTATTGAACAACTATGCGGCTAATGTCCCATTCTATGAACTCTAGTATTTCAAAATGCCTCTACTGCAAAATATTGGTGTAAATGTATTCTAGTATTGAAACTGGACGACTACAAGTATATGTTCGTGTTATATATTTTCTACATTTTCATTTAATTCATTTAGTTTTTGAGAAAGTCAATGTAAAAAAAAAGGTATTTCCTTTTTTTTTTGTTTTTATCAGAGTGGGTGCAGGGTATTTAAGACTAAAGCATTCCTTTGTTTCAATTAGATTTTAAAGTTACTTTGCAGTCACAAGTTTCCTCTGTATATTTTAAAATTTCATCTATATATTGTCCCTTATTCGATTATGGATATACAGATCTTAATTTCTTGACTGACTGTCTGCCTAAGTGTATGTAAAGTATAAAGTACTTTCTAACAATAGATAGTATTTACAATTAATATTTAATAATTGTTTTACTGTATCGCACGCTGTTCCTTAGCAAAAGTGTGTGAGTGTACTCGCCAGTCTACATTCTGCTTTTACCTTGATTCGTTTAAAGAAATAAATAAATAAAAGAAGTCTCTGGCATCTGTTTATCTTTTAATCAATCAATTAAAACCGTTTTCAATGGCTACAAGTAAGCAAACGCCTTCTTTGACTGTCTGAGCTTAACTAAGCTTTCTCTTGGTATAAATCTAACTTCTTCCTTCTTCCTCGGGACGACACCCTGTGACGGTCACAAGGGCATCATTACAACATTTCATAATACATTATAAATATTATATAAACATTATAAAAATGTATGATCTGGCTTTATCATTGAAATTATATAAGTGCTTACAAGCAGGTTCATTTATAACATTTCAGAAATACACTTCGTAAAAAGAAAACATTAATAACAGAGTTTGAATTAAATTTTTACATTCAATTATTGATTGATGCTGCGAGAAACCGTTTGTTCTGCCCCTTACTCTAACCTGGTTCCAAAATTACTAAAAATCTAAGACTTTGTTTAATCTGAATTCATAACAAAAACGGCTAAGCAACTGATAACAACTGAAAAACATATTTTTCAGTTCATATTCATATTTTTGGACTGATCATCAATACAGTAACCTCCGTCCAGTCGATATTGGGATTGTCATTAAAAGTGTTAAAATATATATAAGACCAATAAACGGTGCCCCACAATTACATAAGTTTAATATTTCGTTTAAGAATATTGCTCATATCTGGAAACCATATCACTGATTGTGATTAATTCAATGAAGCTAAAGGAGCTTAAAGAGAAAGAAAGCATTATATTTGTTTTAATGGTGTCACCGAAATCGTATGTTTGTTAATCTGTCATGTAACGCATATACTTAAAATAAATTTCATTCTAAAAATATATTAAACTCAATTAATAAAGCCACCACAAATGTTTTACATTCCTTTTATAAGCAT